CTGAGTAATATTATCGGCTGACGGTCTTAGCTCAGAACAGTTTTTTCGTACACAATGATTTTATATCATTGAATTTAAATTTAACATGACTCTCGCTGGGCATCTAATGTACAGCAGAGCGTTAGGTATACCCGCTTTTTTTTAATTATCAATGTTGTCCATAGAAAAATTTGAAAATGTAATATAAAGTTCCTCATAAATTGTTAAACCTACTATAAGTTAAAAAATATTAAAGAAGATACATTGGCAAGTTTTTTTTTTATAAAGTTAAAATATTGACAAAATTCATGAAAACTACGACCCGGGCGTTTCGGAAGAATGCAATACTTGCGACTGTAAGTTGTCACCACACGCCATCTCTGATTTTATTTCACCGTACACCGTTTCGATCATCCTACCATGAAGGGTGGTTACGACTTCGTCAACGTATTCCTCTCCAGTTTGAATGATGTCTGTTGTTTCTTCTTCTTCTTCTCCTATTCGACAAGTGCGCTTATGATTAAATCGAAATAATTGGTGGCCATGTTTATTCGATATAAAATAATGTTATACTAATGAATATGGCTTAAAAATATGTATTAAAAAAATTGAAACCTCATTATAACTATTATTAGGTAGTTTATTAGATAATACATTTATTTTTTCATTACTCAGGAGTGTCTAAATGATCTTGTTCTAATTGCAGTGCATTCCCATCACTGTTGCAGAAGAATTACGAAACGAATAGCTTAAAAAATAAAGTAAAATTAAGTTTTATGATTTAACTGTTTTGGCTTATCGTTTTGAAAGAATAATAGTGTATACAATAATATATATCCTATTTGTTATAAATTATAATATAAACTCAACAGTCCAAGTGTAATTTATATATTTTATAATATCTACGTTATCCATGCCTTTGAATTTTTGGGGTATAGAGATTTGAGACACATGTGACATTTTTTAAGCCATCATCATAAATACCATTACTTTTCCTATTTTTGTGCATAGGACATTATATCCACTGTGTATAAGATCTGTGAGCGGTGACTTATTTTGCCAAAACTTAATCCTAAAGCTGTGGATCCACCACATCATACCATGATATATTTTGTACATACGTACCGACACAATAACCTATATGTAAATATATACACAACATATTGTATTATATTATGTTCTATGTGTTTATATTAATTGTCCTCTGCAACCGCTGCTATCACGCTTTTACGGAATATTAATCATTTCAAAGTATAGAAATGAACGAATAATTTAATACATAAGACAGTCCATTAAACGTGCGTAAATATTAATTAATTTACTAATTTTATGTACATCAATTTCTTTATAATAAATAAATAAATTTTAAATGCATTTCCAAACGTGTAAGAAAATATTTCGGCGTTCTCAAGGAAGAATGATTCGCGGGGAATGATTAATTGACAATATTACGGAGATTGTACATCGCAATTTCTGCAAATTTGCAACTGATTTTCAATAAGAACTTTACTTTTAGTTTTGCTTATTATCTGATCGGTCTTCCATAAAGGTATTTAAAAAATACCCAAGTGACACTTAAATATAAAATTTTAGATTTTGAACAAAGCGGTCACAATTATGAATTTTTTTTCTGCATGAGGAGACTTTTTATAAGAAAAAATATTTCGACCATTTACTTCTAGAGAAGTTTCTGGTAAGAAATTGTATCTAGATTATACTTTCTAACATATAGATATTTTTTTCTAGTATTTTTAAAAATGATCTGGAAAAACAAAAACAATATTAGAATATTAGTTTCTACTTTTTAGTAACCATATTTTATTTATGTTTAATTATAGTAAAGTAATATTGTATGAAATAATATCATAATTACTACCTATATTATATAAAATGCGATTTGTTTTCAATAGCAATATAAAAAATATCCTAAGAAACATATGCTGATATATTCATACACATTCACATATTTCCGCTGAGAATCGTTTTTCATTATATAAAACGATATTTTATCATTGAACTCAAAGTTAACTTATCCATTACAGTGACATACTCAATGAAGAGGTACACTCGACACTCACTGTACATCAAACCGGGTTAACTAACTTTTTCAACAAAAAAAAATTTATTTTTTATTAATTTAACATTGATGATAATATTATAATTGATAGTATTTATTCAAAGTGTTCATAGAAATTATATATATATATATATATATATTACACGAAATTCGAATCGCATTTAAATGATTATTAGGGTACATGTGACAAGTGTACTTACAACACTGCAATGTACATACAATACATATAATAATTACACACAAGAGTATAATACATAAACATAAGTGCAGCAGATAAGTACAGGCAGTACAGCCCGCGTTACTGTTGTCAAAATTACAGTAAACACGGATTGTATACCTAATAAGCTAATAACTGTTTTTTTTTCCTCCAAAAGGGTCGTGTTCAAACGAGTGTGAAGGTAATATATTATGATACAGAGTGTGATTTTCTTAACTATTGTATATAACCATTACCTCCTAACGGAATTTTGTCTCGAGAGAAGAGAAGAGGTTTCGTTACATGAGGGTTGATTGGGACTTGATTACCCGCATTAACATCGGATTATGTTTCAAAACGAACGTCGTCGTCGTCGGCGACGTGGAGTACATACAATATACACAAACTGCCCCTCGGCCATATATAATATTATAATAATATTATACATAGGTAGGTATTATTATTATTACTCTACACGTGGGCACATGGCACACCGGTCTATAAAATAAACCACTAGGAGGTATATACAATAATAATAATAATATTGTTATTATTATTAGACGTTGCTAACTACCTGGGCACGCGTCGAGAGTCAGGATGATAATATTATTGTCGGTCAATAATACATATTATATATATATATATACTTTCGATCAGGTTTTAAGCTATTGCTTATAATATATTATAGTATATACCAGTACCTATATTGAAGAATCCGCTACGTTGTTATGTACGCACGCGCTGAGTTGAATTAAAAAACAATTTTTTTTTTGGATTTTAAATTCTATAAGTGTATAATATAATATAATTGATATATGACGAAACGACGACCACTTGTTGAGCAGGTGACCACGTTGTTTTTTTTTCGTACAAGGCGTCGGTATTTAAAAGCTGTTCCAACTGTCGGGGCCACCTGTCGATCGTTCGTGTTGGCCACCTGTCCCCTAGTTTTTGTCAGTAGACTCGTGCCACTCTGCCATCAGAGTAATATAAAAACCGTCAGCTGCTGTTGTTGCTGCTGCTGCTGCTGCTCCTGCGTCTGTAGACTGATGTAGGTTTTTTGTCTTGTAATTATACCACAAACGCCACAGAAACCGGCGTTTATATTAATGATCCTAAAATATAGTAAATATACATCGCAGTCATCAAGATCCATTTGACCTGATGTTTAATGTCTAACATGTATCGTTTCTTATTGCGTCTCGTTAAATATATAAGATACATTGTTGCTGTTATAATATTCTATAGTATAAGGTACCTACTTCCTGGTCAAAATCATCAAACAAACAATATTATGATTATTTTTTTGTGGATTTTATACGTTATTATAATATCAACTGTTATTATGTCTTGTTTATAAGGTCCACATTTCAATATTAGGTAAATCAAAAACCATCCATTATTTTACTTGGCCAAAAATATTATCCATATAATGAGTACACAACTTCCAGCTATAGTGTAATCATACCTATTCATAACTGTATTTATTATTTATTATTTGTGTACAATTCTATCCAAAACAAGTTTTTGACCATTTTGTTGTAATTCAAAAAATAATAACCATAGATAAACTTGAAATTTTTACCAAATGCTTATATGAGGTTTTTCTATACATGGTATGATTTTCAAAATATTTTGACTATTCTTAAACTATTTACAAACATTGAGATTTTTGATTTTTTAAAGTTTTTTTTTTTAAATATCGATAAACAAATTTTCATTCGGTAAAAAAACTTTGATAAGCTTTAATACAAGGTTCCTCATATGTTGTTATTATTACTATTTAATAATATTAAAGACGCGTGAACACATTTTTTTAATACGAATTCTTAAGTATAAATTCGTCAAAATCACGAAAATTTGCATATTATTTTGAGGTTAAAAATTCATAAGATATTGAATGTGTATAACTAGAGTTCCACACAAGTAATTAATACTGGAATCAAATAATATAAAAAATATATTGAAAACAAAATTTTTTTATGAACATTTATTTAAGTTCAAATTTGAGCGATATTATAATATTATACATTAAAACAAAGAATAACAATTTTAGGTAGTTATTTTGTTGTTGGTAATTAAAAAATATTTTTCGTGGAGTTTGTTACTTGTACGTACCTATCAATATTATTGTATTTTATTTGTATATATTATACACAATGACATTTTTAAAACAATTAGATTAATAATTGTATGCTATATAATACAGCCTATTTATTTAGTGGGTATATTGACTTAACAGTTAAAAGTATAATGACAATATTATAATAAATACAATATGTTTGATGAAAGTTGATTCAACCTGCCGTATTCATTAAATAAATTACTAGGTATAGTAGAAATAAAAATATATCATAAAATATACTTTGTAATATACATATATAGGCTTATAGTGTGTCTTCGCTCGGAATCGTTTTTCGTGAACACTTATTTATTATTGAATTCAAATTTAACACATAAATTACAGTGATAATTAATGAATAACTCAATGATGAAGTACACTCAACACCTAGGTACCATACAAGCCGAGTGGCTACCTTATACTTTCCCCCTTTTTTTAAAACGGTTTTAAATTAAATAACTATATTTGCTTAAGATACAATTTATTTATAATCTATATTATATTCATATTGTTCGAGAGAGGGCTTGGTATTTTATCTACTATTAGTGAACCACTATAATTACCCACTCGCGCAGAATATAAAAAAAAATCATATGATGTTGAATTTTTTTATTTATTATCAATATTTAACACGCTTCATTTCGATTATTTAATCTATCGCGAACAAATTTTGGTAACGGTTTCGCTTTGAAAGCTGGCAAGGTGTCCGGTCGATCTGCCTGTTTCAATTTGGGAGCCCAGCCTTTTGGCGCACCACTGGGACGACTTCTGCGTAGAAAAGTTCCTGCAATACGATTTAGAAAATTGTAGAAAATGTTTAGGAGATCGATTTTTTTTAAAGAGGTTATGTAAGAAGACTACCAACGTCTCTATTAATTGTCTTATAATTACTTTTATTTTCTGCAGGAGGATTACAAGCTTCTTGAGGACATGTCACCCCCGGCCTTCTGTTGACATTAGGCTTCGGTGCATTACTCGAACACGGTCGCCCACCACTAGATTGTCCTGAAGGATTTGATAAACTCGAAACTGGTTGTCTAACATTAGGTGGCCTCTGGTTTGGTGGTTTCGGACAAACTTGTCTTGGACACGATCGTTGTACTGGACTAGGTTGCCTCGGACAAGATTGTTGTCTTGGTTGTATTGGGCATAATTGTTGTGGAGTATTCTGTGGACTTGGTCTATAACTTACTAGCGGTTTATCAGGTATAGCAGGCATTTTTTTATCTTTATAAAAATATGATTCCCAAGTATTTCTTGTAATAAGTTTGACGTGTTCAAGAAGCATATCGTTTTTAAGTCTCGGATCACCCAGATCGTAGTGTATATGATACAGAGTGGACATAATGTCATCTAACATATTTATACCATAATCTCGTTGTGTTTTCGAAATATATTCTAATTGATTATGTACGCTTTCATAAAACGGGAGTAAACGAATGAAATCCTTATCGTGAAAAGCATTATCGTTCCATTCGCAATCGTTGAATGGCTTAATAATTTTTGGCGGATTTTTGTAGATAGCTTGCAAGATCATCTTGGCAGTCGGACTGTTTTCACATGGAGGGTCTGCTTCTATTGGGTTTGATGCAAAATTTAAATAATGTTGTGTTAGCATATTAAAAGCTTCCGTCTTTGTTTGAAGGTCTTTTTTTGCTAATGACAAATTAGTAAATGCATTGGCCACTAAACTTGATTTGCATACTATCTGCTGTACACTTTTTACACTGTCGACGGAATCTGAGTCACTACAATCTTCGTCGTTTCCAGTTAAAGAACATTGGAGAGCATTTGTTCTAAGCTCTGGTTCTACTGGTGTTTTTGGCAAAGGTCGACATGACGTATTATTTTGATATCGTGGAGGGGACGGTGTGTTCGCAGTTATTCTGTAATATTCGTGTTGTGCGGCATCAGTTCCAGGATTAGGCTTAGGTGCACATGCCTGACCATTACTGCAGCTGGGTTTACTGTAAGGCAAATGAAAATCATTTCCTGCATTTTGACGTTTGCATTGCGAGGTACAATTTTTTATTTTTATTTTTCTCATAGCATCTTCAAAACCATTACGACACTTTTTACTTGTCGATTCGTCAAGTTGTTCCAACTGACACTGGGTCCCAGATATTTTCTCACGGTGCTGTTTTGAGTCCAATTTCAACTCATGTTTATTTTGGTTATGAGTTCTTGGAGAAGTTGTTTTTGGAACTTTTGATTCAGAATTATGAGTGTACGGCAGATTGTCAGCACCAGCGGATTGATGATCGAAATCCACACATGGAGGACTAACGTCGTATAAACTTGGGTGTGAAACAAAATCACACATGTCTTCTAAATTTATATGTTCGAAATTTCTCTGAGTTTGATAGCATCGATTTCGTCGACGAGGCGTGGAACGCCGTTGGACGCAGTTTTCATTACGTGATTGATTTAAAGGGCATTGTTGTTCAGCAACTTGCGAGTTGCAATTTCCAGTTTGCATTTGACATGGATTACAATAGTCACTAAAATCTATGAGATTATCATTCTTGATACATTCGCGTAACGATACCCATTCTTCAACTTTCGACCCGGGGACGTAGAGCCAAAATTCATTCCACAACTGTTGGGTTCTTATAGTCTTAGCTCTCCAATTAATCGTTTTCATAACGTCTATGGGGTGTATATTTGGATGAAACAAACGATAAAAAGTTTTGCATACCTCTCGTGCTACTATTCTAGCATACGGATTATTAGTGTCTTTAATTAGTCTAACAAATGGATTAAGTATTTTAACAGCATCACGAAGCTCTTTGGGGTCATACCTTGGTTCTTGATCATCGTATGGACAACATTGATCTTCGTTTATTCGTGAATCGTTATTTTCAGCACATTCCTCTTGAATAGGTTCAATAACTTTGCAATTAGCTTGTGGCCTTCCACATCTATTAGACTCCGAACTTTTCGCTCTAGTCATTGGTTGTTCTCGTGTGCATGCATTTCTTGAAGATGACCTTTGACTCATATTTAATGTAATATTTATAGTATTCTATTAAAGTTACTAATGTAATTGCTCGGAAATGTACATTTAAAATTTTAATTTAGTTAATACTTAATAGTAATTGTAATTTGTGTTCGTTAAAATGAATGTACCAATTATTTAATTTAATCTAATATATTCCCTAGTAACTAATAGAATCAATAATAATATAATGGTAATTATTATTATTAATATTCATTGTAAGCATTTAAATAAAATTCCCACAGTAGTGTAGAACATTGTACATATTATGATAATATAACAACTTATAAGCAAATGTAGAATCATACAAATAATTTATGTAGATCGAATTTTTAAAAATTTAAATTTGGTTATACTATATATATTTAAATATGATTTCAGTGATTTGTATTTTGAATCAAATCAATTATTTTTCATTGATGGAATATTGCAATATAATGCCAGCACAAATATTAATAATTTATTTTAGTAATTTACTGTTTGAATGGAAAGACGTAGTTAAAATAAACATAATATAGTAAGTTAGAATTTGAATATCTTTTGAAGTAATTACGTAGTTCTTACGTATCAGTTATTTATACAACTATTTAAAGTACCTAATTATAATAAAATGTAATTTCTAATATACCATTGGCCATTGGGGTTTTAATTGTCATTAAATAAAATGTATAACTATATCAATATTGTATTGTACTGACTATGTCAGTAAAATTCATGCCTCACTGCTCAGTGCTCACTACGTTTTAAATTTTCAATCTAGATGTATTGTTAATGTTTATAATAAAGACCACCAATGAAGGTGCAGAAATACATTTTTTTACTTATAAGTAATATAAATTACCTATTAAGCTTAATATTATTGCGAAAATTTAATTTTGCTTGGAGGAAGCATTATACGAAATCCGGTCAGTACTTTTAATGGAGATAATTCTTATTATATAATATAGTGAAACTTCTATTTAACAAATTTGTCAGTTGAACGAAATATTTTTGAGAACCAAATTTGTGTGATTCTATTTAATGAATCTCTCTACAATAAGAATTTTTTGTTGCTCGTGAGACTTTGGCCGTTAGACTTATTATTCAAGTTTTGTAGACGAATTACATTTGTACATATATACATTGATGTAAACAATTAAGTATGCAAGGGACATTTTACTATTTACATAATACAAATTATATGTCACTGTTGTTGTGCTTGAAGAATGTAACGGCCTAACCTAAGTGTCGAAACTATTAATGTATCTGTGTAATATTATAACTTTAAAAAACGTCTGGACACAACACTGTAGAAGTAAAACGGCAACTTGGAAAACGTTTAATTAAAAACTTTATGGCGTGGTAATTTATCGGGAACTTTGAAACTAATCCGAAACGCGTTTATTCGACACTACTTGGGTCGACTGTTTTTTTATCGATCTCGAATATCAAAGTATAATAATAATGATATAATATATAACCAGCATACCTATAGCCATACTTTAACATACCTATAGAACCTATATAGTAAATAGGTATACATATAATCTATTATATTATATCAGATCGGTAGTAGAAAGCTTCTTTTTTGTGTTACCGCCCGCCGTGGAAGTGAAAACGTTCGTCCGCGTTCACCACCTGTTTAAACGGCCGCGTGAATCGTATGATGATAATTATATAACAATAATAATTACTAATAAATAATAACGATAATAATACTAAAATAAATACGTATCGCTTAATATTACGAAAAAGTACAACGTAAATAAAAAAATGTATGTCGAAAAATATAGGTGAGTATAGAAAAAATAAAATTTAATAACGAGATGTAAAACGACGGGGGAAAATGAAAAAATTAATAACCGTGTACAAAAAAACATCCTCAATAAACCGACGTGTTTCTACATAGAAGATTAATGGCTGCGGCGTCAAGACAATAATGCTCGGCGGATATAGTTGCGTGCTCCGGTTAATGGAATCGTGAACGTTCAGCGTCGTGTACTACAACAATAACAACAACAACAACAATAACAATAACAACGACTTCGAAGACTATACGGTTGGGAGCAGATGTGTCATGGACGTATATAATATACCAGGTAGTAGGTATACCCTTAATAATATAATAGGTAAGGTTAGGTAACCTATACGATATAAACGTAGACCTACGAACTACGGGGCGAACATACGGAATGAGATGCCCGACGGCGACGTCAGTGTGCTTTGTATAATAGTTTTAGACGATATTAATATATTATTATTATTTGCCAAAGAAACGCAAAACACAATAAAGACGGTGGGGCTGCCATGTCCGTGTGACCGTGTATATAATATTATAAGTATATATTATCGTTATTATTATTATTATTATCATTATTATTTTAGTCTTCGTGTCGTCGTAATCGTCGTCGAACAGTGTGCACGACGGCTGCAGCACAGCGTTTAGATGATGCATTTCTGGCGCGCGGCAGCTGCGTCGTCCATGGTATCCTACGACGACGACGACTGTGGCGGCGGCGGCGGCAGCGGTCGCGATCAATGGACGAAACGAAGTTACAACCACACCACCACACGTCCCTCGAGGGACCTTCGCCCGTACAGAACATAATATTATTTTCTCTCCGAAAGGAATACGCCGACGAGTCCTCGTTGCGTTCTTATTGATGAGATGGCGGCCCACCACGCATCTCTACGGATATTATATTTAATGTTGTAATGTGTATTATATATTATATTTTGTATTATGTGTATTTTATCCGACGATGCAGTTGTACCCATATTATATCGTATGACTAGAATGCCATCCCCTCTACGGCCCTACAGCCCTATCGAAAATCGTAAGAACCCATTCATTTTCAAACATCGAGACTTATAATTAATTATAATACGGTTGTAAAATGAAAAACACGATTTAGATTTAAGTGCAGAATTGTAAACTATAATATAAATACTGTAATACTGTCAATAATATACAGACAAGGCATAAGCCGACTATTGTGCACCCCTATAAGGTCTTTATATCTGAGAATAACGATTGCTTGCAAAATTAATTTAATTAAAATGAAGTACAAACACATCGTCGTAAAATTCTTGTAAAAAAATAACAGTAGGTACTTAGTTAATAATTTAAAAAAATTGATTTATAGCTCTTTATTTTTATAAATGTTGAGGGATGTTTCTGCTGTTATTACAGATATTTGCGTTATAAACGTATTCAAAAATTGCAATTAGAACATTTATATTTCAAAGAAAAAAACACAATACTGATGTGATATCGAAAAATGTCGACATTTTTGTACTTACAGATCGACTGTCGTTTTAACATGATATACATTATACATTCAGACGACGACACCGTCGGATAGTACCTATACATTATTCTATATTATCGAAAATAATAGCGCACTATAGATTTTATATTTACCTGGACATTGGATACCTATATATATTATATTTGGTCTATATTGAATAAATTTAAACATCACCGAAGACCTATATGCACTATGCACACATAAAAAACTAAACCATATATGTACCAAACTCGAGACACAATTGATGAACAAGAGTGACGAGATCGACCGATAAAGAGTGGTATTATATTATGTGTAGAGTTCACGTGAAGACAACACAATAAATGTCGAATTACACGTCTTTTCAACTTCTCCGTTAGATAAACCATCTTGGGTTACAAAGCGCTGCATTGTCGGTGTATGGTCGGTAGTTTTAAACGGTATATATTCAAGCTCAAAAGGTACGTATTTCTCACGAATTTTTGGACCGTAGTCCATAGATATTGTAATTTCGGGTCAGGATGGTCTACGTCGGAAAATCTTCAATAATGTACTACACCTGTAACTTGTAAGTGAGATTTTAAGAATTTTTAATTTGATCGCTTTCAGTAGTCGAGTAAATCTGTTATGCAAGCTATGTATACAAATATAATATTTACAATATACCTACAGCAACTGCTGCAGTAACGACGCCATTGAAATGATTGAAATTATACTGGATTTCAGTCTTAAATCAGAAATAATGTTCGGCATGTTCGAAATATAGAGATGTAGACAAGTAGTACCTATTACGCGCAGTATTACAGTGTCAAATTCGTTGAAAATAAACAGAAAATATTTTTTTATTTTTTTCATTTTATTTTATACTTACTCGAAACTACGTTTGAAAATATTACTGCACTGTAAATATTTTTATGTTTATTGATTTTCATTTGTTTTCTAACCAATTTTGAATTTTAAAATTTGAAATTAGGTCACTGGATAATGGCGATTCTTTATTGACCTATGATATATTACATTTAAATACACACTTTATACATTTACATCGATCTTACAAACGATATACTAAATTATTCAGAGATTTCAGAGTGTAAACAAATTATGTTTGCAATTTTTTTTATCATTATTAAATAGTTGATTGTGTTTGTTATCAGTGATATTTTACCACACGTCAATGGCTGAACTAAGTTACCTTAAATCTAATAACCACCTACCGTCTTATAATAATTGAATTTGCCGTCTTTTTATGAATTAGGTAGGAAAATGATCTTTAGTATGCCACTAGTGCCAACAATATTATGTAGATGAGTGGGTACATAATATGTATAACTATTTTTAAATCGAAATAATGAATTATAGAAATTACTGTGATATATTTTTATTTCTTTTCTTGTACAATTTGAATGATTTTCATTGAGTACCTATAATAAACATTTGAAGGTCCTGGTGTGTATGTGAAAAATAAAATAAACTACAAAATATAACTAAGTCCACCACGGACATAAACTATAGTACTATCTAAACACCTATTATTACTGTAGAGTGTAGATAGTTTAATTTCTACAAAATATGTCTTAGGTATTAATTAGTTTAATAAATAATGTATTAGGTCTTCAATTATTATAAAGATATTATATATGTATTGCTATTTGCAAGGAAAAAATGGAATAGGGTCAAATAAAATGTATTAACTATTTAACTTAATTCTTTAACTAAATATAGTATAATGTGTAT